AGCATTAGCCCCAGTCACAGATTTGTAACCGGAATATCTTGTAAGCGAAATGGATGGGGTCTACAGGGCCTATTCCGTTTATATCAAGAAAAATAATCTGCCTGGGGAGATAGTGGTCAGATTCTCGAAGAGACACATAAGGGATTTAATCCTGAAAGCAACTACAGTAACACCCTTGAAAATGGGGGAAAATACCATCAGGAATCTGAAAGATATCCCAGTGAATTTAAGATGTGGGAAAAGTTAACAGACTATGTGACTCAGTTTGTAATGAGATTAATATGATTAAGACTAGATGTGTATTCAAGCTGATCAGAAGATCACCTCTCTTGGGTTTTTAGTCAGTAGTGGGTATCTTTTCTTTATCCCCTTAAATGTAGTCCCCTCCCTTATTTCTGTTCTAGTTTGTAAGTCTATTAAAAATGCAATAAAAATTCCCATTCGGGGGGCACAAAAAAAAAGAATTTAACTAACTGAATGTAATCATAAACATGTAGATAAATATCCAAAGCGTATGAATAGCTAATCAAAGGCCCCGGTCACACAGGCCGGAAAATGTGGGGAGGGAAGCATGGCTGTTTGCCCTGGAGCAAAATAACGCGTGGCCGCCCGATCACACGTCCCATCGAGGTCTCATGGTTAGGGCCTGAGGTGCCGATCACATGGCTATCCTGCAGCATGTCAAAGAAATGGTGCGGCGTGATCACACCAGCAATCGCTAGGCGCCGCTTCCGTGGCAAACGGGAATATATTTTTCTCACCAAAAGGTGAGCATGCGCATGATCGTTTGTGCGCATCCTGTGAAGACTTAAAAAAAAACCCCTAACCGGTTTGCGATGGGACTAGGACGGGACACAATCAGACGCCTGCCCTTGCCCCGTGTTTTCCGGAAACTAGTACATTGTAAGTACTAGTTTTTTACTCCGTATCTTCGGCACAAAGCCATGGGTTAGCCACGGGTGCACTACACTTCCCAGATGTTGTGGTGTGATCACGCCCGGAAAATCCGCCTATCATCTGTATCTTTAGCACGGCAAATGCTCCGTGTGAACGGGGCCAAAGTACCTTGCTACTCTCTTTTGTAGTTTATAGTTTTGTAGTTTACAGTTTTGTAGTTTGTAGTAGAAAACCAATTAAAATTATATATACAAAAAAAGATTATGTAATCCAATAGATTACATGCACAGTGGCGCAGGCTGCGTGCATATATCCACATAAATTGTTTGACACTGGTAGAAGTCTTGTGGCAAATCTGTGATGATTGTATGCATTTATTTGCTGACAAAATCTCTCATCCCATCTCATCTCATTCCAACTTTTCTTTCCTGACAAAAATCTCTCAGATTCTTTCCAATTTGGACACCATTTTTTTGCCATCTGAGTGACAGGAAAATATAAAAATGGGAAAATGCTAGATATTTCTACATATTTGAGGATCACACTGGTTGTGAGTCACTTTGAGCCTCCTTGTATGTACTGATAAATAAATATGTTTTGAAACTGCATAGAAATAGGTACCTTTGAATCCTAAAAATTACAGCTATGTCCCCCCGCAAGGGTTATTTTTCTTCCATTTCTTTAAGTTACTCCTATATATTTTTACAAAATTAGAATTCTTAGGGTGTTTTTTTGTGAAATAGTTATATGACATACAATAGGTCTCTATTGCTGGTTGCAACTCTTAAAATAGATTGATTTTCTTAAGTGTTTAAACTTTTTGTAAAACATTGCTTTAAAACAATACTCCTCCCCATGACCACGTTACCTGGAAAACCTATTTGAGAATCATGTCTAACAACTCTGATCATTTTAAATTGTGCTTAAACATAAGTTTATTGTTCACTATCCTCAACAGTTCTAAAAAGTCTAGAAACATTACTTCCTTCACAACCAGAGTACTAATGTGGTTCTACAGGATTTATGAACAATTTAGTAAAAATCTGGAAAATAGGCACGTATTCCAACCACATTGTAATTCTAATTGTCCATTTTACTTCCGTGGAATATCCTCAGGAGCTTCCTGAGTACATGATTCCAAATGGAAATGTTACCTTAAAACAAATCTGTTTTGCAGCCTCCATTTCCATTTCAATTCAGGTAATCTGAAGGTCAGGGAATACATGACTCATGAACATTGTGAGCAGCCATTGCTAAATTTTGATGGAGGATTCCACTTCTGATGTCCTAATTTTTGAGGAGGAGATGCTGATGTCACTGATTGGCTAATTTTCCTCCCCCACCCTGTTTATGATTGGGAGATCCTCCCACCTCTGCTTTGTTTCACTGTCATTTTCTGCTCATCCTCTGGCACTCCAGGGCTGTACTTGCTGCACACTGGTCACAGGTTTGCTCCTGGTTGCAAGACTCAAGAAACAAAGGTGTGTTGGCTGGCATTTGTGGGATGAGAGGGAGAGGCAATTTAATTTCATCTGCTGGCTTTCCTTTCCCATACTACTGGTTTACTTAAGGATTTAATTACAAAAGGGGAACAATATTTATGCTGGGCAATGAACTGGGTGCTGGTTTTTGAGCCCTGAAATCTTTAGGACAATACTGAAAATCAAAAGGATCTTGGACTTAATCAGAGTGCCATGACTGAATGCAAAGTATTTAGGCTTTGTTTTGCATGAATCTGATTTTATTGAGGTTTTCCCCATAGGCATGCGATTTTTCTCTTTTAGATGGTATTATGTGGTATTTGCAACTGAAATGGTAGAAAACATGTACCAAACTATCTAAGCTTAGAGATATTATCATAAAGCCATGCTAAATCACAAGCGGGCAGCTGTTTGAGGCAGATGTTCTGATAAGGACATGGTTGAGGGCAAGGCTTCTGAGATTTGATCAGATTGTAGTATGATCCTTGCATTTGTATAGCTTGTTATTTTCAGGGCTAGACCGCAAGATCAAAAAGATGTTTACCTAGAAACATTCTTTAGTAACACTTGGAATTATTCTTTGTGACCTACTACAAAATAGAAGAAAGTGATTTTATGATTTCCCTCTCCCTAAATGTGTTAAGGTCTAGCTCAGGGGTCCCCAAAATGGTTCCTGTGGACGCCATGGCACCCCAACACCTTTCCTGGTGCCCACCAAGTGTTTTTTGAAAGTGGACAGGGCCAGATGGGGCTTTTGCCCAGCAAGGCTTCACTGGAGATGCAATTGGCTGTGCAGATGGTTAAAAACATTGCTTTGGCAACAGCTGCCACCACAGCACAAGCATCTTCATTTTGTGAGTGAAGGTAAGCTGTGGCAGTCATTCTGTGGCCGGCTCCACCTCCTGCAGCAGCCATTTTGTGGCAGTCATTGAGAGGCAGTGGCCACCACACTGTGTTGGAATTGCACAGGCTCAAAAAGATTGGGGACCCCTGTTCTAGCTCATGTGAGTAGTAGATTAGATAGTAACAATGAAATCCTAAGCAAAGCAGAGTTACACCTTTAGGAGGGTGTGACTCTGCTCAAGATGGCATTGTAAACCCTTTAGTGGACCTTATTACTTTCAACTGTATGTGGAGGAAATGCTGAATGCTACCACAAGGAGAAACAAATTCCATTCTCACAGAGAACAAGGATATTCGGGGAAAGGATAAGCTAGGACATTCCTCCTGAAATCTAACTTTGTATGCACAGTGAATTAAAATAAAATGATGGAGCAGCATTCAGTGTTATGACTTCTCCCCAACATACACACACACACACACACACACTTTGCAAACTCTTCGTGTACAATAGAGGGATAGTGTTACCATCTCATTTGCTATTCTTATATTTAACAAATATTCTCATGCAAATATACACAAAAAAGGCCCACCAAATGAGGCCCTGTGCAAATGTATAGGAATTAAGGTTCATTTTGTTGTTGTTGTTTGTCGTTCAGTCGCACAGTCGAGTCCGACTCTTCGCGACCCCATGGACCAGATCACGCCAGGCCTTCCTGTCTTCCGCCGTCCTCTGAAGTTTGCTCAATTTCATGTTTGTTGCATCTATGACTCTGTCTAACCATCTCATCCTTTGCTGTCCCCATCTTCTTTGACCTTCAATCTTTCCCAGCATCAGGGTCTTCTCCAGTGAGTGCTCCCTTCTCATTGGGTGGCCAAAGTATTTGAGCTTCAGTTTCATTATCTGGCCTTCCAGGGAACAGTCAGGGTTGATTTCTTTTAGGATTTGATCTTCTTGCAGTTCAAGGGACTCTCAAGAGTCTTCTCCAGCACCATAGTTCAAAAAAATCTATTCTTCGGCGCTCGGCCTTCCTTATAGTCCACCTCTCGCAGCCATACATAACTACTGGGAATACCATTGCTTTGACCATGCGGACTTTTGTTGGCAAGGTGATGTCTCTAATTTTTATCATGCTGTTTAGGTTCACCATCGCTTTCCTCCCAAGGAGCAGGCGTCTTTTAATTTCATGGCTGCGGTCACAGTCTGCGGTGATCTGGGATCCCAGGAACGTGAAGTCTGTCACTACTTCCACGACTTCCCCTTCTATTTGCCAAGGAGTGATGGGGCCGGATGCCATGATCTTAGTTTTTTTTAATTTTGATCTTCAAGCCCACTTTTGCGCTCTCCTCTTTCACTCTGAGCAAGAACCTCTTAAGGTCCTCTTCACTTTCTGCCATTAGAGTGGTATCATCTGCATAGCTGAGGTTGTTGATCTTTTTCCCAGCAAAACTCAGAAATATTACTGCAACCAGCACTCTCAAGCAAGAGTGAGAGTCTAGACAAGACTGGGTATAGGTCACCCAGCAAGCTTCTAGGGCACAGTAGGGACTCGAATCTGGGTTTCCCAGATCCTGGTTCAACACTTTTGCACAAGTTTAGCTTCCATAGCAATTAGCATGTGGGGGAGCGGTCTGGAGATACCCTGGGCCAAGATATGCCAATTCCTTTAATTTTTGGCCCCGAAACTCCCATGATCATCCTGAAGCTGGTAGCCAATTTTGAGATTCCTAGTTTTATTTTCTGATGAGTTATGCCTGCCACAAATGGACAGACAGATGGACGTGTAGATATTTCTATTATTATAGATATGTGGTAACAGCCAGCCAAGTGATTTGGTTTGGATTAGGGTCATATGGGGCGGGGGAGATGGAATCGTTGTCTGGGCCCCATGGTGGCTCTTGATAGTCTGGTTTCTATTATACAAATTCTGGGAAGATCCATTTCTTTCTTTCTTTACTGTTATTTATACACCTTTCTTACTGAGACTGAAAGTGGGTTATAGAGTGTATACAATCAGTCTGAAGACACATCTAATAAACATAGTGTAAGCTGATATAATCAGTATGAAGAGATATCTAAAAAGCAGTGCACTAGGCCTAGAATTACAGAAATCTGAATAAGCATAGCATATTAGGTATGATATAGAGTGCGCATATAATATAGAAATATGGAATTATAGGAATTCCCAGAGTTTTATCTGGTTAGATTAGACCCTGGAAGACAGAATACTGCAAGGATGGAGGTTTTCTCCACTATATTGCTGATTTTCCCACAGATAGGAGCGGTGTGATATACAGAGAACAGTTCTGGTCTCACACATGTTGCTCCACTGTGACAGCTTTCTGCACTTGAGCAAGGTTTTTTGAAGATGCCACGCTGATAAAAGATATGATTGGTGGCTGCCTGTACCTGAATATTCTCTGTGGTGGTCCCACATGGTGGAACAACCTGAGGAAGTTGGGAAGTTTCCTCAACTTTTTATCCTTCTGCAGAATGTGTAGAATGGAATTTCTTAGGATGGTGTTTTAATGAAGGGGATGCTGTTCTACTTTTAATGTTGTATGTAAATTTGTAAATGGTACTTATCATTGGTTTAAATTTTTTGCAACCTGCCTTCAGTCTTTATGGAAAAGGTGGAATAGAAATGAATTTGGTGTAGTGGTTAAGTGTGTGGACTCTAATCTGGGACAACCGGGTTTGATTCCCCACTCTTCCACTTGCAGCTGCTAGATGACCTTGGGCAAGCCATAGTTCTGTCAGAGCTGTCCTTGAAAGGGCAGTTCTTGAAAAAACTCTCTCAGCCCCACCTATCTCACAGGGTGTCTGTTGTGGGGAGGGGAAGGGAAAAGAGTTTGTAAGCCACTCTGAGACTCCGAGTGAAGGGCGGGGTATAAATACAATCTCTTCTCTTCTTCTTCTTCTCTTCTAATTTGCCTTTCTCCTTTTTTGTGTAATAGTTGCTAAAGCAGTGAACAGGAGGAAATTTCTTACCTTCCCAGATGTAATTTATGACTTTCACTTGCATTTCTGCTGAAGGGAAAATGTGAAGAGGAAAAAAAGTGGGAGTTTTTGCAAAAACAGAAAAACAGATTAAGGAAGATGAAGAGAAAAGGGGAATGCGGCATCCTTTTAAATTAAATTAGGTGTGAGATAACCTGGCTGGCATGAGAAAATGAAGTTGCGAAGGAATGTGGCAGGCGGGCTGCTCCAGGTGTTTTGCCTGAGGCGACGTGGCTAAGGGTGCTGCTGTGAGAAAAAGGAGGATAGGTCAGATTGTGGACAATTTTAAAACTCTGCATTCGTATTTGGATTACAGATTGATAATCTAACCCTGGTGCAGAGTAGGTAATGGATGGTTGTCGCAAAAACAAGCAAGACTCCAATAGCACCTTAAAATAATGTTTTGCGGTTTAAGTCCTTCAGATCTATACCCAAAAGTCAAATTCATGAAGCAGTTTGGAAAGAGCTGTTAGACATATGAATCTGTGTAGTATTCAGTTTTTCAAAAGGAATTCTTTTCTTGATATGGTTTCTCTTTGCAGTTTGTCTGTAGCAAGGTATTTAAAATCCCTACCATGCCTTATCTAATTCCAAGTTGCCAAGCTGCTATTTCTCTTGTCTGTCTCTCGGCACACATACATGACTATCAGATTTGCTCTATCAATCATGTAATATATGGGCTACTTTTCACCCTGGTGAGAGAAACTTGCATTTGCCATCAACAAGCCATTGCAGCTCCCTGCTGAGGTTACTACCATCCTTTTCACATTCACACTTGTAAGTTTACATTTCAGGCATCTTAGATGTATACCATAAAATTCCTATAATGTGAAGCAGCCCTTCAGCACATCATTTTGGATGCTGCTTTGTGTTCTAGGTCAGGATAGAAGCAGGAAAGCAAAATGTTCAGGGGCAGGTTTCCTTCCATGTATCCAAGCAGCCATTGCAGGTATTATTTTAAGATCACATTTTCCAAACCTATGTAATGTAGATGCTGTGCATGGAGCAGGTGAGTCAGAGAGGAAGAGCTCAAAAACACAGAGAGCAAATCACATGAAACCATTGTTTATCACTCTTCTTAATAGAACAGCACCCACATGATGTACTTATATTTTAATTAGAGGTGGGGTAGGTCAATATACTCACAGGAAAGTGTGCAACCACACCTACTTCACTGATGTTGATGCAAGACATATATGGAGGAATCCCATGTGAATGCCATTCACCATGCCAGCCCAGGGTGAGACAGTTTCTATTTCTCTCTCCATTTCCCCCCTTCAAAGCGGTGATCGTTTGTCTCTCTGAGCATCTGATCTTTCACTCCCTTTTATTGATTGTGACAATGGGAAAGCCTTCACTCCTCCTGTGGCCCGTTTCAGTTCTTTCAACATATCTTTCACAATCTCCTGATTTATCTACTGATACTGTAACTTACTGATCACTTAGTGCTTGGTTTCAGTTGCACCTAAAGTGCAGCACAGGAATCTGTTTAGGAAATCTTCAGCAACCTGTGAATGTTGTTTGCTTGGAATTCAAACTTGCTAAGGTGGGAATGGTAACAAACAGCAAACTAATTCCTGTTTCTTTGTAATATCCGAAATGGAACTCGCTAGACGTTCCTTGGAGCCATTTCCGTCTAGTGGCTGGACGACCCCTTGTGATCAAATGTTGATTACTTCAGTTGATTGCCTCATGCATGGTATTTCTGCTTTCAGCATTCACTTAAAAAAAATTCTGGTCTTCCAAAAAGGTTTCCTCTGAAGGTTCATCCTACAATAAATACAAACCTGCAAACTTAAGAACACTTCCCTGGGAGTAAGCCCCATTGAATGGACCTGAGTAGCATTAGGTTTGCTTAGGAGTAGCATTAGGATCTGCTTAGGATTGCTCTCAGAGTCTTTGTGGCATCACAGGACTCATAGTTTTCTTGAGGCAACAGATGTACGCAGCTACTGCTCTAGAATCTCTTGCAAGATGCATAAGCACACATTTCAAAAATCACTAAAAAGTTCAAAAATGAGAAGCAGGATTGACTTATGCTTCCTGTCCCCCCCCCATTCACAATGATCCCATTTGACTACACTAGAGGAAATAATTTATTTTAACTTCATGGAGTGCACCAAACAGTTGCTAAGTATGGGGTGGACTGACTGGTGATTTCATAGGGTATCTACATAGGAATTTCTACACTTCAGGCGAGCATCTATACTTTAGGAGACTCTGCACTGACTCAACTGAAAAAGTGCTTTTTGCCACGCAGATAACAAGTGGAATTGAGACATTCAGGAAGCTTATGGGGATACAATTAATAATTGTATTGAATTGAGACATTCAGGAAGCTTATGGGGATACAATTAATAATTGTATTGAATCAGTGCCTCCAAGGTACTGTCTGAGTATCCATAGTTCCCACCTTAAATCTGTGTGGGTGAGCCTGTAGGGAAGGAGCAAAGTTGTACCTAGAATATTATTAATTAATTAATTGATAAAACGTTTGCATGCTACCTTTCCACCTGACTTCGGGCCCTCAGGGCAGAGACAGAATATGGACAAGAGCGAACTCAAAATATAGATTTGGATCATATGAACTGTGAATGGAGGGCTTTACAGAAGGGATATCAGCCACCTTTCCCTTCCCACTGGAGCCCCTTGAGCTGCTTCCGAGAGTGAGGGATGCTCAGGACCAGGCGGGATGCTGGAGTGGTGGGAATTGCCCTCCTCCCTCCACTCTTGCATAGGAGATTTCCACAAATGAAGCACACGTTCACACAAAAGAGGACCTCCACTTTTCAGCTCTACCCACACCGCATCATAAGCCATTCATGAAGAGCCCTTTGTGGCTTTTGGGGAGGCTGAAGGGGCTGCAGGGGGAGCAGTAAAGATCCCTTGTGTGGCCCACTTGTGGTTAATAGGACCAAAAGCCTTCCCACCCCCCCCCGTACTGTTATTTTGTATTCTGTTTTTTTCTTGCTTGTGCCGACACGTCAGAATCCCTTTATTTCTTTGGGATTTTGTACAAAATAGCCTACCTCATCCATGTCTTGAAACACTTGGAGTGGAGATTTGGCTTGAACAGAGTATTTCCACCCAGCAATGCTTGTGAAACTGGAAGGGATGGGGAAAGACTACACTTAATCCGAGTTTGTAATTATGGACTCTTTTAAAGGAAGTGGATGTGATCTGAATCAACATGTCAGCCCAGGTTCTAGGTAGGTGTAAGTCCAGATAGATAGCTCAACATCCAACAAAAAATGAGCATGATTCACCAAAGGTGAAATACCGCACTCAGTTGCCCTCTTAGACTTCATGTTGGCTCACTGTAAATTACAAGAGTACACTTCATAGAAGCAATAATTTCTAAGACAGTGGTTCATAAACCAGATAAACTTTGGTTAGAGTAACATTCTTGAGAATTCAAACCTTCCTTGAACCGTAGGAGCTGTTCTTCAACTTAACTGGGTCTTCTGCCAGCAGAGAAAGGCTCCTTAAACAGGAGGAAGGTTTCTGAGCAGAATGATAGGAAATACACAATGGTCTGGAATTATACAACCTGAAATGACACTAGCCTTTTATTCAGCGTCATCATTGTTTCTTGTTGATCATTGGTCAGTTAAGAGAACATCATAAGTTACCCTTGCTGTCCTTTGTTAGTTCTTGCTCTAATGTTTATGGTTATTTTTGCTTAATGTTTTATTTTATCTGTGATGATATAGATTGTTCTTATTCTTGTTAATCTCATTGGGCCCAGTTGCAGGAAAAAAGGGAGGCTTACAAAGGTTTTTAATAAATTAAAATGACTAAATAAAATAATCCAGGCTTTATTTCCCTCTCTAACTTCAGAACCTACTGCTTTGGTGGCCCTCATATAAGTGTTTTACATGAATAAATTTCCTACAACCCCCCCCCCTCAAAAAACAACATGAAGAATTCTGAATAACCAGCCATTGATTCCCCACATGGGATTTGTTCAGTGCCTTAACATTAATACATCAGAGACAAAAGCCCGGCTCACTCATTACAATTTTACAAATCCAGCTGCTTATGAGATTGTGGTACATATGATCCTGTTGATATGCATGGTTGTAATTTAGTGTGAACAGGGGATCACATGATTTCCAGCTTCAGTATACGCAACCAGGAATCCAGATTTTTGCCGGTGCACATACTGAAATTAGAAAATATACAGATTGTCCTATTCATACAAAATGGTGACCACACATGTTGGTGGGATCGGGGGGAGTGCACTGTCCTGTTATGTGAAGTTGAAATGCCAAAATTCTAATGATTGAAGGGAATTTGTTTTCACACATGAGACTAAAAGTGCATTGAAACTCTTGCATGGTATTCTTGCATGAATAATGTTATCCAGAACAGATTGTGGAACAGAAATCAAGGCAATCAGTGCAGATTTTAGTCAATGCAGACTGTCTATTAGAGGCAGATTTCAGGAGAAACCAATTTAAGCCTCCTTTAAGAAAATGCTTTACCTTCTTAAATCAAGGAATAGATTGTGTTTATACATGGTGCACCAGCACAATGTTTTATTAATGCAGATGACCAGCCTGTAGCACAGGTCTTACAAGGGTGATGTTCCGGATATCCTCGTGGGCCTGGCTTATGGCTTAGAATCCTGCCTACACTCTTGCCTGCCTTTCCAGCCACTGACTACTTTCAGCTCTTCAGCTAAGCAAACTGTGTAAAATCACCCCGAAGCATGGTAGGCTGCATATATATAAAGTGCATTAAGAATGGTGATGCCTATTACACTCAGAGTTTGGTCACTCATATCCCATTGTCCGGTTTTGTTTTTATTTTGCTCCAAGATGAAGCACTATCTCTTCTTCGCATTGCTGCTCTGTGGAGTCTTCACCACACAAGTCCTCTGCCTTTCATATGGGAATATTTCACTAGCTTGTGAATCGATGTTGCCAGACCACTCTGTTGAACCACAGGAATCTGAATCACCCTATCACATTTCTGTATTATCAGATGAATATGACCCAGGAAAAGAAGTAAAAGGTAAATAATATAAGCTTCCTCCTAGCTTGTTGTCCTTCTCATTCAGATCTTCCTGGAAAGAAATGGAGCAGGTTGAGTTCATACAGTTTATCTGACCATCTTGTTAGTGGAAATGCAAACAAGTATAAGGCTCCAGGTTACTAGATGATCACTTGATTAACAATCATCTGCTACCACCTTATAAAAATTCAAGCTTATCCATTCCATGTCATGTAGCAACCCAGCTCCTTTGCACTTACATTTCAGAAGGCTCAGTGTGAGGGTGCCTTAATGCTCAACATTTTTGGATATATCTCCTGATTCAGGGAGTCTTTTGTCCTCCTCTTCAGAGTTCACTTGAGGGAGTTCATTTACTAAAGTCTCTCTAGTCTCCCTTAGCTCTCAGCTTCCAGTCCCAAAGCTCTCCAGCCTCTCTGTAACATCAAAGGCACTAAGCCAATAGGTACCTGAAGGCCCATGATGCACTCACTTCCCATCACCTACACTCAGGGGTCGTTTCGTAGAAAAAGAGCTAGGGGAACTCATTAGCATAACTCATTAGCATATGCCACACCCCCTGACATCACTGGAAGTGTGTCATAAGGCCACACACCCCGCCCCCAATGGTCCCGGCCCATGAGGGGCCCGGCGGTGGACCTGCAAGGCCGGCGGGAGTGCAAGGAAGCCCCGCGAAGGCCCTCCCTGGCCCCAGGCAGGCAGGGGTGGGAGAGGCAGGGAGGAAGCAACTTACCCTCCCTCTTCTCCTGCCTCCTCCTGGCTGAATGAGGGCTGGAAGCGGGGCGGCCGGAAGCAGGGGGCGGGGCTTCGTCATGTGCCCCGCCCCTGTACCTCACCCGGGGAAACTGCGATCCCCCACGATCCCCCCCGAAATGACCTCTGCCTACACTACAACAGCCCACTGAGATCTCAGGGCAGATCTCTTCCCACCATATGATATTCACAGCTCGGGGGCTATAATTATTTGTCAACATTTTCTGCAGCATTTTTCATAAGGAACAGTGCGCTTTATATTTCTGTTGTGCTTTAATCTTGTATGAGGAGTTAAGTAGAGAAAGAGTCACTTGCCTGGGGCCAAACAATGAACAGGGATTTTTGTCTGGCTGTTCCATGTGTAAATGTAGTCCTCTCTGCAGTGTACCACTGGCTTTGCATTTCTCATGTATGACATCATAAGATGTGTAATCACGTCTTGGCTAATAATGTTGCCTATGGTGGATAAGTCAGGACACAAACAAGAAAGCCAGGGTGGAGTTGTGGTCAATGCTCCCTCTAAGCTGTGGAGGCTTGTGAGCAAAAATTCAACTTTGTGAGCTGCTGGCATTAAAGCTGTGAGCAAGTGATTTGGCTCCTGCATAAATTAGTTTCCTCTGGAGCCCTCCTTCCTGAGCTAAGTCAAAAATGTCTGAGCCGGAGGCTAAAAAACTATGAGCTAGCTCAGACTAACTCAGCTTAGAGGGAACACTGGTTGTGGTTAAAAGTGTCAGCCTTGACCTGGATAGCCCAGGCAAGTCCAATCTCATCAGGTCTATGAAGAAGGGCCGACCCTGGCAAGTACTGGATGGGAGACCTCCAAGGAATACCAGGGCAGGGACGCAGAGGCAGGCAATAGCAAGCCACCTCTCTGAAATGTCCAAGCCCCACTAGGGGTCATCAGAAGTCCACATGACTTCCAGGCACACACACACACACGCACACAAACACACAAAGAGTGTCAGACAAGTATCTGGGTGACCCAGGTTTGAATCCCCACTTGTGCCATGGAAGCTCTCTGGGTGACCCTGGGCCAGTCACATTCTCTTAGCCTAACCTACCTCACAGGGTTGTTGTGAAGATAAAATGAAGGGGAGGAGAATGATGTAAGCTGCTTTGGGTTCCCACTGTGGAGAAAGGTGGGGTATAAATGCATTAAATAAAAAATTAAGAAACAAGATGCCTTCCTGAAGTTCAGATTTTAGCTTTCTGAAGCTGATAGGGATAAAAGTCTTGTTTACTTTGTTTAACATATATTCATGTATATGGCAATCACTTACAAAGAAAATGCAGGGTTCTAGGTTTATATTAATGTTGTTCACCATACGGATCCTTATTTTTCTGCAGCTGGTAGGAACAGAATGGGCAATGCACAGAGATTCATTTAAAATTATTGCTTTAAATGGCTGTCATGCCATTTGCATCCACACTGCAAACTGCTGATATTAAAGAACTCATTATGCATGATATTTTTGTCCATCGGCCTTTTTACCACATGTACATGTGCATGATGTACTTTGCCTGAGACTTATAAAACAATTAGCTATTCCATATCCCCCAACTTCAGAAAGGAATATTATGGATTCCACACCAGTTTAAAAATAGTATAGTTGTCAACTTGAAAGGAGGTCTAAGTGAAGTAGAATGTAGTCCTAGGCATGAGGGACTATAGCATTGTTTGAGTTGGTAATAAAGTCCAGGGGCTAACATTTGCCTGGCTTGATTCCCTTGGCAGGTGTCAGCCTCGCAGGAACTCTCAGACACAATAAGTCCTTTTAAAAGCTTTATTGTGAGATCAGGAAAGTTGCTGTAAAGTCAAACTCTTTGACAGAACTGAGGAATATTACAAAGTAGGAATCTACGAGACCTCTGATCCTGCCCTCATTCATAGGTCATGGTTACATAGTGCATAGGCAGGTTAATACAGGTTAATACAGCTCAATTTAGACGGTGAGAATGTTATCATTTGAGTCTTTCTCGAAGGCCATGAGAATGAGAAATAGCGAAAGTTCTCTCTGGCCTATGCGGAGGATGTTTCCTTTCCCCAGAGTTTCAGGAGCAGCTAATCTAGGGTTCACGCAGACATGTCTCAATCGCCCCTCCCGCAAGAATGTCAGAGGAGGACCTTGCAGACAGATTGATACAATGCCAGCAGGTGCTAAACGGAAAATCGGGAACTACAAGCAGGGAGGGGAACAGCTGGCGAAGCACTAACAAAGCATAGCTATGTACATCAGAGAGCCACAGTTACAAATATGATGACCCGGGCAAGGGTCCGATTCTGACAGCAGGAAGGAGAATATTGGAGTTGTATAGTATCTTTGTAGTATTTGCTGTATCAGCTACTTCTCATCAGATACCTCGAGAAAGAGACAAATTGCACCCTCTAGGTGCTCATGACTGCTCTGTATTTCTCATTTACCTAGACTAAAGTCTGCACCTTCTTTATACAGACAGCTCCCCCATACCTTTTGCTTGGCCAAAGATATTCAGGGCCATCAAAGCACATGTTGAGTGGTAATACCTCCAAGCAATTAAGAAGTGTCAATTATTATCATCCTTTTTGTCATGCATGAAAGACTGAATAACAGTGAACAGAGGCCAAGCATATGTGAAGGAGACATTTCTGAAGGAACCAAGTTTGCCGCATCTCTTAACAATATCATCTTTAGTACCATTAAAATGCAGAATATAATGTATGACACTTATGATTCTCTGTATCTGTTTCTCCAGTGAACATAGAGGGAACACCTGAAGTTGGATTTAAATGGTTTATGCTGCAGGCACGAGACATTGAGGAAAACGTCCCAGTTGGTTCATTTCACATCACAGATTCAAATACACAGGGCCTTGACTGCTACAACCTTTCGGTATGTGTTTCTTCCTTCAGCTTGGATAGTTAACATGTATGCTGGGATTTACATGATAAAGAATTCATTTTTCTGTTCAAGCAAGATCAACATTTCTAGCTATAGCTGAATTCTGTCCCACAAACCAACAGCAGAATGCAGGCAGTCCTCATGTTCCTCTTCATCCTCTGCGATCCCTTTCACCTCCCAGAAAAGTTATTCCTGGAATTGTGGGATCCACATGGATCCAGGGTGAGAAGAAGGATGAGGACAGGTGAAATCAGCCCTCTTTCCTCTTCCATCATCCTCACTCCAGACCTTCAACTCATACTGCAGTTTATCTAAGTGAGTCCTATGACCCCAGGAATAATCTTTCTAGGGACTGAAAGAGATTGCCGGGAGAGAGGGAAATGTGGGGAATATTTACCACTGTTTGTTTACAGTCAGTTTACTGTAGAATTCTTGTGAGCTGTGGTTTATAAATCAAAACAGGGTCAGTCCTGGCTAGTATTTAGATGGGAGACCTCCATGGAATACTAGAGTCATGATAAGGAAGCAGGCAATGGCAAATTGCTTCTGATGTCTCTTGCCTTGAAAACCCTATGGGGTCTCCATAAGCCAGCTGTGGCTTGACCGCACTTTCCACCACCATACACAAGAAACGTGGGGGTTATGGAGTCCATTATGCATTCAGTCCTCAGATAAGCCAGATATTTCTGTTGTTCTGGAATGGAACAAGACAGCTGGTACTTTGCGTCTAAATGAATTGACTACTGTGGAGGTGGTAATGATCCTGAGCAATGCCCAAGATCTGGTGCAAAATGTAAATATTGTTGAAATGTTCAAGGGTAGTGATGACAGCTCTATCCAATTCAGCATACAGGGAGGTGGAAAGTTGTTCAGGAAGCCCAACATAGTCACATTTAGTTAGTGTCAACGTCAGTTTCTCAAAGACAGGGATTGTTACAAGATGTCAACGAAAGTCAAGAGAATCAGATCTCTTCAGGTATTTGGAGGTTATTCAGGTATAATAGAAGCTCAGTCAAACGGTGCACTACAGATGAGAAATGTACACTTTTGGGGGTTTGGTTTCTTTTGTTCTTGTTTTCAAAAGCTTAGTTTGTTTTTACTGCATTATTTTTATTACATGTGTTCATAAGAACATAAGAACATAAGAGATGCCAATGTTGGATCAGGCCAAAGGCCCATCCAGTCCAACACTCTGTATCACACAGTGGCCAGAAATACCAGTGCCATCAGGAGGTCCACCAGTGGGGCCAGGACATTAGAAGCCCTCCCACTGTTGACCCCTCATTCATTTTTGCTTTCATATTTGTTGTCATTCCATTGAGAACAGTTCTAGAAAGAGTCCAGTGAGCAAAGAAGTTGGATCACGCCACATTTTCCAAGACCTAAATATCTGTGACCTTGCAAAAAGATGGTTAGTTTGTAGTTCATTGGACACCTGATCACTTCAGAACAAAAACTTCCAAATGATCTGAACAGAATGTGATTGAATATATGGGAAATGTATTTATCACGACCCAACAATTCCTTCTTGGTACGAGAGTTCTGTAGGAGAGATGGAACTCCTCTGCCAGGGAGGGCTTTTCCACTGACTTCAGTAAGAACTTTGCATGTACCTAGGTCTGTTTGTAAAGGGGCTGAATATGTGCTGCCAGTGTGCTTGTGGGTTTGTTCATGAGGGACTAAAGTGGACTGATTAGTGGATGTCAACATGAGGATACTAGTGGGTGTCAACAGCAAGATCAACAGCACAAGATCAAGATCATGGAAAACATTAAAGATTACACAGGTGGGATGTGCGGTTCCAGCTGTGTCATGAGTTGCAGTTCCTCTTCACATGAGTTGCTGTTTCTCATCTGTTCCCATGTGTGTGATGCCCAATTTAGGACTTCAGCCTGGTCTCCTGTGCTGTCTGGGGAACCCTATATGTTCTGTGGGCAAATCCATTAGTTCTCTTGAGTCCAGTAGCATTCCCCCAAACCGTTTCAGTCAGATCAGGAAATGATGTAGTGTGAGAGGCTGAATTCCCCTTCTCCTAGTATGCTGCTGTCCTGATTTGAATCAGGCCCTGTGCACAGGGAAATTGAAACTTACGTCTGACTGCTGCACAAGATGGGTACCCCATACCCAACAGTTGTACAGAATGTGTGAAAAGCTGTACCAGAAATGGTGCTTTAATACTATTCCTAACATGACCAACTACCCATCGAAATGAACCAAGAGTTTCCTCAAAATAATCTACAATATCTCTAGGGGTCCTGAAGCATATTTTTAGTTTGTATCTCTGAACTGATTCCCCAAGAACAGAAAAAAAGAATCCATGATATGTCCCTGATCAGGGCTTGGTATGAGCCTTGATATAGCCTTGGACACAAAAGAAGATGAAAAGCAATACGGCTTCTACAGAAAATATAGCAGGAATATTTTTAAAATAAAATAACAGAGATGAAGAAAACAACTTTTGAGTACTGCATCAACAGGCTGCAGGAGTGCTTTATTGTGCTTTTAAATGCCTTGTCTTTGTATGGAAAATAAATTCAAAACCTTGTACTATGTATTTCCTGTATAACCATTGGTATCAGTAGATGTTTGGATTCCAGCATTGCCGTAAAAGGCTTTTATTTCAATAAGCAAATGTCTGAACATCTAAATCATGTTATCATGTCTGTCTTTAATTTTTCAGAATTCAGCATTAATTCAGACAAACGTAGATAAGAAACAGAATGTAACAGCACTTTGGGTTTCACCTGATGCAAAAACCATTCAATTTATGTAAGTAGATATTTGAAAATCTTCATTTGAATTTTTACCTTTTTAAAAAACTAGAATTTCTGTGGCTTTCTCAAACATCCATTGTTTTAATTTTTCCTCATATTTCCGCTCTACCCAGACATTTTAAATTCTTATTTTATGTCACTGTAGTGTCAGGGCCAGTTGGGAGGGGGGCAAGCCTCAAACTCAGAGAAGATCTGAGATTAGACACTTGTTAATTTGGGGGGGGGGCATTTGATAACTTTCTCTACTTGTTTTTTTGTGTGCATACCTATTAGGACAAAATGTGAAATACTCTCCTATTTTTTATTTTTAGTAAAATTATTGGCCTCAAAAGCTGGAATTTATACAGGCCTCTCTGAAAGGGTCTGACTAGGTAAAGGTAAAGGTTCCCTTGCTCGAAAGCCAGTCAAATCCGACTCTAGGGTTGTGGTGCTCATCTCCATTTCCAAGGCAAAGAGCCAGCGCTGTCCGAAGACATTTCCATGGTCATGTGGCCGGCATGACTAAACGCCAAGGTTCACGGAACGCTGTTACCTTCCCACCGAAGTGGTACCTATTTATCTACTTGCAATTTATTGCTTTTAAACTGCTAGGTTGGCAGGAACTGGAACCAGAGATGGGAGCTCACTCTGTCATGCGGCATTCGGGTCTCGAACTGCTGAACTACCAACCTTCCACAGCCTGCAGTTCAGCATCTTAACCACTTGAGCCACCGCAGCTCTGACTGTGGGCCCACAAAAAACTGCTGGGGGACAGTAGAAAAGAGAAATAGTCCAGTAGCACCTTAAAGACTAACAAAATTTGTGGTAGGGCATGAGCTTCCATGAGTCACTGCTCATTTCTTCAGATACAATATCAGTTTGGAATTCCCACCCCAAAACCTGTCCCTCATATTCTTTCCTCATCAGGCCTTTTAGTTTCCCCCTTTTATTTATTTGGCTAAATTCCAAAGTCTTATTTTTTCTGCTTGCTTAGGGAGTTCTTATTTGGGAGTTTGATACTTTTGATGCTTTCAGATTTTTCAAACAAAGTAAAGTTAGGGGCATTTGTTTTCAGATTTCCCTATTAAAATTATTTCAGGTATAGTTAACCCTGGTTGATCTATACATCTTATGTAGTACTTGTGTGAAACAACCACCGCATGATGGGTGCTATACACCATGTCTGACATGTAAGATGGGTTCCTGTTGGGTCACCAATGTTGCAGAAAGAGTTTCCATTCCACAAGCATCACCAAATGTGGCACCAGGAGATCTCCCACTATTACGTATAGTTGATCTCCAGACAACCAAGATCAGTTCCTCTGCAGAAAACGGTTGCTTTGGAGGGTGGACTCTGTGGTAGCATACCCTGCTGAGGTGCCTCCCACGACCCCACCCTCCCCAGGCTCCATCCCCCAAATCTCCAGGGCTTTTCCAAACCAGAGGAGACAGTTCTACCAAATGTCTCCAGGGGCTGCTGCTGGTGACATGAAGAGTTACACTGGTCGCAGGGGACAATGGGATGTCATTTCCATATACATTCAGTCACGAAGTTAGGTATGGGTCATTCCATTTTATTAGTCTCCCAATCTATTAAGCTGCTTTGGGCTCCGTTTTAAAGGACAAAGGTGGGTGTAAATATTTTCAGCGAATGGATGTTACACACCACTGGGCTGCATACATAAGCAGCCAGCCTACTGTGAAAGTACAGTCACTACACCTGCAAGATATGTGAAGATAAAGGATTGAACTGGGAGGATTCGTATTGAAAGAGAAAGTGGATTTGCAGTGTTAATAGGCTAGATCTTGTGTCAGCCATAACGCCACTGTTCCCTTTTCAGAGCTGGATTGTGCACAGCACTGGGTTGACTGGCCCCTTGAGTCAGGTGTGAAAAAGATCACACATCTCTGTCTCTATAAAATGCAAATTGCAGGGTTATGCAGGAAGGGAGAATGAGTTTAACCTTTAATTCTCCATTTGGCTTTGCTAATCAAAATCAGGCTCCCTGCCTTGGTTTTAGCATTTAACAGGGGAAAAGGCCTGTTTTTAAAAAGATGTGTTTTTCCTTTAAAATGCTTATGGTGGAGCCAGTTATTGTTACTGAAACCAAACAAAAATTGAAGGATTAAACCCCATGCAGCTACAGCACAAATCAAGGCTGTACAAGCCTGCATTTTATAGGTAGATTGGGTTGTGTAATCTTCGTAATGTCAATTTGAGCCCTCTCCCTTACCCTTTCTTGTCTAATATTAAAGTGCAGAGGGTGGAGGTGCCTTAAAAGACAATAATAATAAATTGGATCATACACATTTGAAAAATAACCAAAACCAAAGCAGTTAGTCTGCCTGTCATTCCTCTCCCATCTTTCTGTCAGATTCCTGGGTCAGTGATATATTTTGATATACAGAAGTGAATTTGTTGAGGAAAAATGCACCAATTCCCCTTTCTATACCTGCTCATCTTTCTGTATACACATATACACAGCTGTTTTGGGGGACTGCCTGTCCTCTTCTTTTTCTTCTTTGGTAGTCTGATGTTATATTGAAAAGCAGAGGTCATTTCAGGGGGAACGCGGGGGAACACAGTTCCCCCGAGTGAGGTGCAGGGGGCGGGGCACATGACGAAGCCCCGCCCCCTGCTTCCGGCCGCCCCGCTTCCAGCCCTCATTCAGCCAGGAGGAGGCAGGAGAAGAGGGAGGGTAAGTTGCTTCCTCCCCGCCTCTCCCCACCCCTGCCTGCCTGGGGCCAGGGAGGGCCTTGGCGGGGCTTCCTCACACTCCCGCTGGCCTTGCAGGTCCACTGCCGGGCCCCTGATGTCAGAGGGTGTGGCATATGCTAATGAGTTATGCTAATGAGTTCCCCTAGCTCTTTTTCTACGAAATGACCCCTGTTGAAAAGGTAGAATGTAGCATTTGTATATGTTGGATATGGTCATTTCATCATCTGTAGTCTGTCTTAGTTAGCAGGGTTAAGAAAGATCACTAGTTGAGATCTTAGACAGCTGAGGCCAGTCACAACAGACAATACTGATTTAAATGGACCAAAGATATGAGTCTAAGGCTTGGAGTCACCAGAAAATCTCTGCACATGCAGGAGTGGCTGATTTTCACAGCCCCCCCCCCCACCACCTCCATGGCAGACATCTGACTCCCCCATCATGCTGTTCCTGAGGGTCCCCTGTCCTTCAGAAAAAGCACTGGGGGGGGGGGGCTGCAGAGCAGGAGGGGGGAGTCATGGATGTCCTGCCTTGTTGACTGTAATCCTTCTGTCTTTGGAAAGCTTCTTGTGGATCCAAGCAATAACCTTTATTAATGTGCTGTCTTGCAGCTACTGCATATTTCTTATCACAGAGCAATAAGGTTGTCGGCTCTGGTTTAGGAAATTCCTGGAGATCTGGGGGGTGAAGTCCGGGGAGGCTGAAGTTTGAGGACAGGAGGGTCTTCATCAGGATATAGTGCCACCCTCCAAAGCAGCCATTTTCTCCAGGGGAACTGGTCTCTGTTGCCTGGACATAAACTGTAATCCCAGGTGATCTCTAGCCACTACATGGAGAAGGGATGCCAGACCCCTCACCTCTCCACTGCCGATCGGCTAGCTGGCAAAAAAAAGGAGGAACACCCGACATGCCCACATGTCTTCCAACATGACCCGGAAGTGACATAGGCACATTAGGGATGTTGGAGCGATGCTCTGGTTTTGGGGCTTTTGCCCCCAAACCAAAGCTTCACCCCAATGTGCCTACATCAATTCTGGGTCCCTTTGGAAGTCATGTGGGCACGTCACTGAAACACTGGGTGAGACTCCCTTCTCATGGTAATCCCACTCCCTGTCCCCCTCCAGCTGCCCAGAGGGACCTGGCAAGCCTAACACGGAGGTTGGCAACCCAATGGAGCGATCACATTTGGCTTGCCACCTGACAATTGCAAGAGAGTTCGAGCTGCTGGAACCAGAGGGGCACTAGAGGGAACAGCAGAAAACAAGAGAAGTCAGGGGAAATATTTATCTAGCCATTTATTAATATTAATGGCCCCACGGGTGGACCGCCTGATGGTACCCGGTATTTTTGGCCACTGTGTAAAAGAGTGTTGGGCTGGATGGGCCATTGGCCTGATTCAACATTGGCTTCTCTTATGTTCTTAAATATTGATACCCTTACCCTACCTTTCCACTTAAAATTGAGGGAAAACCTGCAAAACAGATTGAGGACATTCTTCTGTATGTTTCAGCTGAGCCTTAAAACTGTAGCCGTAAGTGCTTGTAGGGTGGATCTGAACAGTAAACATTGATTTTGGAGGGTGGCCTTACTGTTGCATTGTTTTCATTTTGTGGGGTAGTACGTTGCATCATACTAATAAATGCTTCAAAGTGACTCTGGCACTAGATAAGCAAATTCAGATAACCCAGGAACTGTGGCATGGACAAGCATATTCAGATATGGATATGTTTCTTGGATTAACAGAACACCAGGATCAATATCAGAATCCAGGTGCTGTATTAGTTGTTGGAAAGAAAAGCCAGAAAATGAGAAGGCTGTTCGGAATTCAATTCGGAAACAATTAATTCAAATTGTTTGAGCAGTATCATGTGATATAATGTACAGGATTAATGTTGCTAAATAGAATCAAAATGGGTAATACGTTTGACATATTTTTTGGCAAACATTGGCACACATGAGTTAAAACAGGAAGTTCTTCTCAACCCATTTCGTTCAGTACTGTTTCCCCTGACTGGTTCTCAAAGGTCACCATCAGAATCCAGGTGCTATATTAGTTGTAGGAAAGAAAAGCCAGAAAATGAGAAGGCTGTTCGGAATTCAGTTCGGAAACAATTATTTCAAATTGTTTGACCAGTATCATGTGATATAATGTATGGGATTAATGTTGCTAAATAGAATCAAAACGGGTAATACGTTTGACATATTTTTTGGCAAACATTGGCACACATGAGTTAAAACAGGAAGTTCTTCTCAACCCATTTCGTTCAGTACTGTTTCCCCTGACTGGTTCTCAAAGGTCACCGGCCGAGAAAAATCTTTCCCAACACTTGTATCCAATATCTTCTCTTAACTAGAGTTTAGCTAGAACCTCCTGCATGCAAAGGATGTGCTCTGACACGGAACCCTAAGACCATCCTTGGGCAACTTAAAAAAACAAACAAGCAGCTTCTTAACATAGACACTTTGCTGCACCATACCAGATAATCACCACAATACAAAATGTGATTTATTATCTTTTCAGAGCGACCATTTTTCAAGATCCTGAAACATACTGGGTTGTTGTTCCCAGTGTAGTCCTGTTTCCCAGAAATTTAAGTGAGGCAGCAGATGATTCCAACACTGGTGGTGAATCTCAGCCAGGCCAAATATCACCCAAAAGCAGGAAGAAGGTTTGTTGAAATTACTTGGTCTCCATTACTTACCCTTTTACATATTCTGGTTTGGAAACCAAATGTGCTGTTCCACTGGTGTAACAGGGGTTTCGCAGGCAGAACAGCTTTATCTTAGTGGAGGAGAGGGTGATTTTCCTCTTCTTTCCCCTCCTACTGCATACCCTCACTTTGCCCACCATGCTGTTCCTTAATCTCCAGCAGCAGAAAGGGGGACGGGTTGCTCAGAGGACTGCAATAGGAGAAGAGAGAAATCATGCACTTCCGGCTTCACTCTGATGGCACTAGTTTAGCTCGGGCTGGAATGACCCCAAAGACGGCTGCTGGCGCCAGATCTGGCCAGCCAACCCTCCCTGAGAGGCCAGCGCTGCCGTGCTGGACCCTCATAGACTCCCTCACCCTCATGATTCCATCTGAGGATGCGGGGGGGGGGCAGGCAAAAGCCTGCACCTGCATATAGGCAGGCACAGGTCTTTCAGCCAAAACTGAGCACTTTCAATGTTGATTTCAATGGGGGATAGCTCACCATGTGCTTAAATCTTCCATTAAACTCAACAGGAGAGTAAAGGTGCTTAATTTTGGCTGGGAGTCCAGTAAATGTAGGATTACACTTGGGCTTGGTTTACGCTATTTCAATTCTCCAATTGTTTATGTACTTGAAGAACACGACAGCACTGAGAAAGGCTGGGCTTTATGTATGACAAGCCAGTTGTGACACCAATATTCGGACTTGTAGAGATAGGCTGCCTTCTTCTGCACCTGTGCCTGATTCACGCTAACTTTCCCACCACCCCTGCTGCTGTGATCATTATCCATCCATATTCAGAGTTTTGTTGTGACAGCCTATCATTGGAACTAGCTTCATGTCAATGACATGATCCAGCATGAATAAATTCTAACTTGAGTCCCTTTCACTATACACCAGATATTTTGTTTCCTTTACAGTCTGCAGGTATTACTCTAAGAATAAACTGTGGCCAGGTAAGGATTTTTGAACTATGATTCGCAATATATCTTTTATACATGAATTGCTTTTGATTGCATTGAACCCATTATTTGTGTTGTGAGTACGGTTAATTTGGGACAATGACTCTTAAATAATTATAGCACTTTTCTGCTAGATATATATTTAAAGTGCCTCAAGATAACTGGTGCATATATGACTGAGAAGGATTTACTCCCAAACAATTCGACCTATGCTTCTTGGTTATGCTGCTGAATATAAAACAGTATAACGTACTCCAGTATTACAAACTCTGCACTGCATATAACAATATAGCTCCTATCATTTTTTTAAAGCAAAGTGTTTACTGTTTGGTATTTACACTCTGTTTGGTTTTGGTATCTTTGAGGTAGTATGTTGTATGTTGTCATTAAAATTTGAGCCACCATAGGTGGCTAAACAGGTAGATAGCTGCAAATACATGAAGAAATAGATGTGTTGAGGTAGTCCAGTTTATTAGAATCTAGCTTTAATTACTCATATCATCTTAACATGTTGGCATCTGAGAAGAATTACCCCCATTCTATGTTTGTTTGTCCTTAATGTTTGTATGTTTTTGAAATTTTTAAAATAAAATTCTATCCCTCCATTAAAAAAGAGAGAGAGAACTGGTGCAAGTTGATGCTGCCATCTTTGCCAAAATCATTAAAAAATAAAAAAATAAGGAGATGGGGGGGGGGGGAACATGTTCTGAAACATGATTCACACTCTCGTTCCCACAATTCTTTGCATGCTTGAAATTGAACTTGTGCATCTTCTCCCTCTTGGTCCACGGTAGGCTTGCCAACTCCACCTTGGGAAATTCCTGGAGATTTGGGGATGGTGGCAGGGGATGGTGAAGTCTGGGGAGGGGAAGCCATTGACCCTGTGATGCTGTAGACGCTCCCCTCCAAAGCTTCCATCTCCTCCAGGGGAACTGACCTCTGTAGTCTGGAGCTGTAATTCCAGGAAATCTCCAGGCCTGACCTGGAGACTGGAAGTCCTGGCTCAGGGACACAGAAAGAGGCTCAACTATTCTATTTCGGCATTACAAAGAAGTGTGGGTATTAGGAAGCATGAAGTGCTTTCCTTCTTCTGAAGTCACTCTAAAGGGAAACCTGATTGGTTATAGTCTTCTGGCACTATACTAAGCCAAAGGATGTATATTTGGGTGAACTTTCTGAAATTTGACTGTATCAATAGTTTTTTCATTACTTTCAGGGTGGCAGTTACGCAAGCAGTAGTGAGTGTACCAAGGTAAGCCGTTTCTTTTTCAATCTGTACCATGACTCTGATGACAATTTGACATACATACATTAAGTGCCGTCGAGTTGCAAATGACTTATGGTGACCCCAGCAAGGGGCTTTCAAGGCAAGTGAGAAGCAGAGGTGGTTAGCCATTTTCTTCCTCTGCAGAGTTTTCTTTGGTAGTCTCCCATCCAAGTACTGACCCTGCTTAACTTCTGAGATCTGATGAGACTGGGCTGTAGGAAGCCACCTTCCCTCCCTCCTGATGACAATTTTAGTACCTCGGTTACTAGGGTTGCCAAGTCCGGACTTACCTCATCATTTCCTTGTGACGTGCACGCGGGGGGTGGGGTTTCCCCCGGGGCCCAATTCCACAGGGGCGGAAATCGGGCCTCCAAAGCAGGGGGAAATCCCCGGGGGGATTTGGCAGCCCTATTGGTTACAGTTCTTTGGGCTCTTTCTTAGTATTATTCATATAATCAGTCTTTCCACTAGCAAACATGGTCCTATGCCTTTTCAAGATGATTCTGTAAATTAAAAAAAGAAGAAGAAGAAGAAATTCCAAAATGGCCTAAAGAGGACTGAGCATGCTCATGGGCCCCTACCAGGCATAGAATGTTGACAAAACTTGAGCAACAGTTAAATGGAAAATAGAATGGCGAGGAAGAATTGCCGTGCTAAACCCCATAAGATCTTATAGTATTCTGGAGGGAAAAATTTATATTAGGGGGAGTTTTTAATGGTTCATCCCTCCCCCATTCCTTGCAGGCCTCCAACCTTCTTGTTCTCACAACTGCTGTATTTATTTTCCATAATACCATTCACCAAATAACATGCCATATAATTCCTCTCGCTTCTGATTTCTTATTGCAACAACAAATCTTTATTGTGCTTTAGATTGCAAACTGTATGCATGTGCTCTGCTTTCCATCAGATCCTACCTTCCCTTGACCCTGAAACCCAAATATTTTATGCAACAGATAATTAAAGATAAATGTCTGGTTGTTGCAGATATATCAGGGTTCCTCATCCGGCACTTATTCCGGCAGTCAGGTAAGTTCCAATTGCATTGTGTGTGATTTTGTGACAGACACTGCAGTGGCTTTCTCAAAAATCCTCAAAGGCTGGATAGTCAGGCTGTTAGAATGTTGCCTTCATCTGTATCCACCAACTACATCATACTGCAGCTCAGTCTCTGATCTTGCCGTACTGCAGTGAGTAGTACATTCAAACAAAGCAATTTATTTGGAGGGTAGCAAGTCTCCGGACTGGTTTACGCAGTATAAACATTGTAATATCAAATAGTGACTTGCATGTGTAAGGGAAGTGTCGTAGATCAACTACTATAGATAGCTTTCCCCTTTCACGTGAGAGTCAGTTTAAATAGCTGCAAGTCATCGACAAAATACCAAGAAATTAATAGTGATATCCTGTGCAGAGTTACTTCAGTTTAAACCTGTTGGTTTTAATAGGCTGAGAGTGGAATTGTACTTGTAAGAGATGACAAACGAAGGGATGTCCATGGCTATGTGAACTAGCCCTTACAATACAATCCCATATGTGTGTGAGATATATACCCACACACATCACACACAGAAAACACACACTCCAATTTTCCTCCCAGTGGGAACTCAAAACAGTTTACAACATAATTCTCCCCTCCTCCATTTTATCCTCTGAGCAACAACCCTGTAAATTAAGTTATGCTGAGACAGTGTGACTGACGCAAGTTTGGCCAGCAAGTTTCATAGCAGAGCTGTGAGACCCAGGGACTTCCCAATCCAAGTCCAGTACTCTAATCACTATACTGTGCCAGCTCTCTACAGGCTAGGCTAGGAATAACTCTCCATATGATTTCAGTGTCAGTGTCCTGCTATCAATTGGACATTTCACTGAAGAAAGAGAAATATCTGGTCCAAACTTCCTATGTTGAGTAGAAGCACTGATGAGCATGGAAGCAGGTTTTTACAAAATTCTGCTCCACACAAAATAGCTGCCAGGTAGGAGCTGCATCTACACATTGGGCTAACAAGTGGAATACAGGTTTTAATATTAATGTGTCAACTGTTACATGCATCAAATATTTGGGTGCAGCACCTCACCATGTGGTTTGGCATCTACACAGTTGCACAATTACAGGAATCTTGCGAAGTGGTGCAGAGGCAAACTACTCAGCAGCAAGTGTTGCATATGGTAAACTGCTACTCAAAAGGAGGTTGCTTTGTGAAGAAACCAAAATGACTTTTTTTTTTGCACTGCTGAACAACTTCCTCTGGGCACCATTTTGTGTGAGCCTGTGCAGGCTTGTGCTATAAAATTACTCTCCTCAAGTCATGTTTTTACTTCATGACTTCCCATAATTAAATAATATTGAATAATGTAACCACATGAGGACATTAAATAGTGTAGATTAACAGCAAGAAGGGAAACAAAACTTAGAGTGAGGTGGGCGAACCACCTCGTTTCATCCAGCATTCTGTCTAGAAGGTGCAGGATATCCAGGCTGTGAAAAATGGCATTCCTTAAAATCAAGCATTTGAAGTACAGATTATTAAATTTGATTTCTTTGCCAAGTTCAGCATTTTCTTCTCAGGGTGGTAGCAGGCAGCTCCAGGTAAACTGTTTTCCCCAAAAATCTGAGGTTACTAGAGCTCTGTTCACATGTAACAGTGAACACACATATAATCTGCATACTGCACATGCATGATTTTCTTTAAACATTTCTTGAGTAATTCTCATGTTACATTCAAAGCATGTATAGTTGAATGTGTGGTTGAAATTGCACTATGCAGGTATTGGCCCCTTGTTTCATTTGTCAAGTGAACACATGTTGTCTCTTTCTTACAAACCGATGGACACATGTACAGGTAGGTTGTACATGGGGTCAGTGCGACACACAAACAGGGCTTAATTTGGTATCCCTTTCAGTAAAGACATAGTATTCCGTGCACGTCTAGCTCCAAAATGGTAGCTAATCTTTATCTGCCAGGACTGTTCTAGTCTAGGAATATGACATGGGGAGAGGCAGAAGCCCGTCCTCCTGCCATGCCATGGCCCCAGGCTGAATTGGGCCTCTGTAGACTTCACAGATACCATTCCTCACAGCTGCTGTGTGCCAGTGAGGAAAGTGAGTGAGGTCCAGGGACCCCAGACCTGACTTGTTAAAAATTGTCACATGTAGCGGCCCTGAGATAGCCATAATCTGGGATGGTTTCAGGTGGGTAGCCATGCTGGTTTGCAGTAGAAGTCTCCCTGGTCCGCGTCCTTCCACTCCACCAGTGGTTCATCCACTACATTATGGCTCAGGATGTTCAGATGGCTTGCAGAGTCCCTCCTGCTGGATTGCAAGCCCTTATATAGCTGCCATTTTTGCTTCCTTCTAGAAAGACCTGCTGTGTCACGAGCAAGGGAGCTACGTCTCTTGGCTGTCTTTGCATGCATGATAAGATGGCCTGCAGAAGGGGGGGGGCCCTCTCTGTGGTGGAAATAATTCCTCCAAGGCTCTATCCTAGAGCTTATTCCTTATTATAGTATATCCCTGTTGGCCAGGTCTGTCCAGGTCTTTTGATCTGCCATGTTCATAAGTTTGTCTTCTCTTCCTGTCACATAATTCTGATACCATGTCACTTTCTGTGACATGGTTGCAGCTTAGTGGATACGTTTCTTAGTTGGTCCTGGGATTGGGATAGTTGAAGACCGCTGCACGAAATCTCTGTGGCTCTCTAAAAGCAAGTGTCTTTTTCTTCTGTGTGATGCCTGATTATGAGCAACTTGTGTGTAATCTAATTGCAGCTATTTAGAAAGAGCATTCAGACTCCCATGGGGTAATTCATTGTGTGGATTTGGGGCAGTTGGTTGTCTTGTGTCTGTCCATCAACTTCATGCTTGATGTACCTGCCACTCTTAAATTGTGTCACATTATCTGCAACAACCAGGAGCACTTTTTGTGGCGGCATAGCCACAAAGTTACCATGGGCCACTTTTATTCCTTGTGAATCATGACTGAAATAGAATAGAAGAAAATGCCAGTGGGAGATGGAGGGAAATGCTAGGTTTCCCGTCTTTACGGAAAGAGCCATCTTAGTGTGGTGGTTAAGAGCGGTGGACTCTAATCTAGAAAACCAGATTTGATTCCTGACTCCTCCCCATGAAGCCAGCTGGGTGACCTTGGGTCAGTCACAGTTCTCAGAGCTCTCTCACCCCCACCAACCTCACAGAAAGAAGAGGAAGGGAAGGCCGCTCCAAGAGTCCTTTAGATAGTTTACAGTGAGATATAAAACCAACAACTCCTCCTCCTCCTCCTCTTCTTCTTCTTCTCTCAGCAGATCATTATCTTGGATTCATTCTCCTTTTTGAAATCACATCCAATAATTCTGGTTTCTTTACAGATATGTTGCTCTCAATGACAACATACGTTCAAATAAGCCTTCTCTCTGCAAAGTAGATGGATTGTGATGCACGCTGCTAGTGTTATACATTGCAGGTTTTATTTCACGCAGTAAACAAAGCATTTTTAAAAAAAGAAATAACCCATTTTATTTTCTTCCAGGGCGGTGTAGTGTATCAAGGAGGTACAAAAAAAGGTGGCTGCCTTGGTGTAAGCATACTCTTCTTTAGACTTTTAGTCCTTATTGAACTATAGCCTTGGTTATATTGCAGGAGCTTGGGTATTCATTGCTTTGATTAATACAAAATGGCCTCAGATTTTTTTTGGAAACCAGGGTTGCATTGCAGCAGCACTCCAGTGCCTGTACTGGCTTCCCGTTATTTCGTTTCTAAGCATAAACAGTAAAAGCTTGTTAAAAGGTGTTTTCAGTTGCTACTCAACTACTGTGAAACTCCGTTCCTTAAAAACTTACCAAATCCTGAATACTTTCCAGAGTGCTATAAAACTTTTTTCTTTAAAAGCAAAATTTGGAAGATTTGAATTCATGTGTATATGCACTCACACGGATATGGTGTTGTCATTTTACCCAGATATAGGGATGGAATGGGACAGAAACTGTAATGAGTACAGATAAATAAAAGGTTCACTGTCATGATGTGTTGCTGGGTTGACTGATACCTATGCTGTGATAATACATTAGTCTTGAAATGCGGTATATGGAAGTGGCTCCTGAGCTTGTACAGAGTGCCTTTCTCTGGCACTATGTAACCATAAATGGCACTCAGACCTGGTTGTACTAAAATACCGGCAGGCAGTGTGCAGATGACTTATGCCTCCTATATAATGCCCATAAAAGGGCTTGGTTGCATTACCATGGAAAGATGTGCACGTTTACTGATATGTGGTAAGCTTCTACATTCAGTTTGGTAGTGCTTCATTGTAAGTTGGCAGATGCAGTTCTTTCAGTTTGGTTGTGCTTCATTGTAAGTTGGCAGATGCAGTTCTTGGGAATGTTAAACTAAGTCCCGGTTCATTTCCTTTTAAAAATTGATCACTGACTACTTGCTGTAAAAAAAAAATTAAAAAAATCCAAAGTCAAATTACTTAGACTTTTCCTTAGTCTCTAATTTTGAATACTCCTCCTGTCAATCAATATTATTATCACATGATGTCGTTAAGAGGCACAGCAAAATGAAATATCCAACTTCTTCGCTGTTTTCTACACAGGGTGGAGTTTCAAGTGTCTACAGCAAGTATGGCTGCGGTGATGTAAGTTTTCTGGGAGTTTTGGTGTATGATGGAGGGCTGGTGCCGTTAGCTCAACCCCTTCTGCTGGGTAGCTGTCCTGTTCATTGTAATCAACCATATGTTTTACAAGTATGCTACTAACCAACATCACCTTGACTTGGTCAATCCATGCAGCAGAACAGAGAGATAGATTGGGCTGTACCATTTCAGGTTGCAAATGGCAGCTCGCATTCTTACTGGTCCCTCGTATAAAAATTCTCTGTAAATAAAAATTCAGCACATCCAGAATAAAGGTTCTAGAAAAGCCTGTCACATACTATACTTGTTTTCCACTTGCTGTGAATTATTAAATTAGGGTGAAATATGACAAATGTCATCCCTGCCCTACAGTTTGGAGTGGTACAACAGAAGATTAGAATCGAAATGACCTCAGTAATGAATACCATATTGATCCAAATATATGGGAGGATAGGGAAGAGAAGATGTTTTTTTTTGCTGATTCCTCCCACTCACTGTAGACCTCTGTGTCCCCCCCCCTCATGCTGTTCCCAGGTTTCCCCTGTCCCTTCCCCCGCTCATGCTGTTCCCAGGTTTCCCCTGTCCCTTGGGAGCAATATTTTGCAGGGACATTTGGATATGCATTAGGAGAGAAGAGGGAAAGAAGCTACACTTTGAGGATGGAGATCCTTCCACCAGCAGAAATTTCTAAGCTACTGGGTCTAGCTAGTAAATGAGCATTTAAACTTAGATATACACTGCATACAGGGTTGCCAGCAATGTTCCCTCTAAGCTGAGTTAGTGTGAGCTAGCTCACAGTTCTTTAACCTCACACATTTTTGTCTTAGCTCAGGAAGGATTGCTCCAGAGCACACTAATTTATATAGGAGCCAAATTGCTTGCTCACAACTTTAATGCCAGCAGCTCACAAAGTAGGATTTTTGCTCACAAGACTCCACAGCTTAGAGGGAACATTGGTTGCCAGCATCCAGGTAGTGCCTGGAGATCACCCAGCATGACAACTGATAATTAGACTGCAGAGATCATTTCCCTTGGAGAAAATGGCTGCTTTGGAGGGCGGACTCTGTGGCATTATATCCTGCTGAGGTCCCTCCCTTCCCCAAACCCCATCCTCCCAAGGCTCTAAACCCAAATCTGCAGGAGTTTCCCAACCTGGCACTGGCAACCTTAGCTGCAATTTAGGCATAGATGTGACAGTAAAGGAACACTGTGACGACCTCTATATATTTTTTCCCAAGATGGGATCTTCTTTTTCTAGAGCAAACCTGGATTAGTTTTCCCTGAGTTATCATCAAAACTTAAACCTTAATTGATATAACAGTGTACCTTAAGAAATGACACTTTCTTGAATTCTTACTTTAACTAAAAATAAATTAAGGTTTTCTTTATTTGTAGGGCGGCATAGACTACAGTAGCAACTCATATGGACAGGTAAGGATGCTTTATCTATAATATCAAAACCAACAGAAATTCTTGTGGCACCTTAAATACTAACAGATACGTGAACTGTTACCTCAGGAGACAGGATATTTTTTAAAGCACACACTTGAACACAATTTTTTTCTCTGTAAATCTCTTACGGACTGATAATAGCATTCATAAATCTGATGAAGTAATTTCTAGTCTGCAAACTTCAGGTCACAACAATTCTTACCCTTGGGTCTTTCTTGTTTTGTTTACTAAGGCCCTGTCTCTGCACACTGCTAAGCGTTGTATACTCAGAGCTAGAAAACTTTACACAGGCTCATGAGCTTCCTCACTGGTTTTTGCCAGCTTTTTCCTAGAGCCAATGGCCTCAGGGCTTAACTACAATATATACATTGTGAGTTCTGTGTATGGAACTCCCTGTATTTGTTTAAATCCACTAGGTGCATGGGGACTTGATTCAGACTGGGAGCATGGCACAGGGGGAGGGGACTTTTAAGCCCTAAGGTACAGTTTTTCCCCTATCCATAAATTATTTTGATTGACTGATTTTTCTAGTTTAACAGTTTGCCAAGAGTATAGCAAACTTCCTAAAAAGGTGTGGGCGACTCCTAGGGATGATAGGAACTGCTTCTTGATTCCCCATACCTGCCACACCAGTTTGGTGTAGTGGTTAAGTGTGCGGACTCTAATCTGGGAGAACTGGGTTTGATTCCCCACTCTTCCACTTGCAGCTGCAGGATGACCTTGGGCAAGCCATAGTTCTGACGAGCTGTCCTTGAAAGGGCAGTTCTTGAAAGAGCTCTCTCAGCCTCACCTACCTCACAGGGTGTCTGTTGTGGGGAGGGGGAGGGAAAGGAGTTTGTAAACCACTCTGAGACTCTGAGTGAAGGGTGGGGTATAAATCCAAACTCTTCTTCTCTTCTTCTTCTTCCTAATGAACAAAATATCAATATTTGCTTTCTGTTTTCCTTACAGTCTGTTTCAACTGCATCAGATACCAAAAAGGTATGTACTCTTTCTAAACTAAAACACTGAAGTATTTCTCTACAAGACTTTCTTCTATACAGCCAGCACACCTAATGGCCTTCAGGCCACTCTGAGGTTGGGGACAGGACCAGTGCAGAGTACAGTCTTCATAGTATGAGATGTGATATTAGCTTGACTTTTCTTGCACACCATGGCCACGGTCAAATGTGCATTTCAGGACATTCCCTTAGCCAGTTTGGTGTAGTGGTTAAGTGCGCGGACTCTAATCCGGGTTTGATTCCCCCACTCCTCCACTTGCACCTGCTGATGTGACCTTGGGTCAGTCACAAGCTCTGGCACAGCTGTCCTTGAAAAAGAGCAGTTTCTGTCAAGAGCTCTCTCAGCCCCACCCACCTCACAGGGCGTCTGTTGTGGGGAGGGGAAGGGAAAGGAGTTTGTAAGCCGCTCTGAGACTCCAAGTGAAGGGCGGGGTATAAATCCAATCTCTTCTCTTCTTCTTCTCTTGCTTTTCTACCGTAAGCTCATGTAGATTTAATGTACTCCATTTTGACTGATATCTTTTGATAGACTTCACCTAACACTCATTGTGGTGTTAAACACTGAACTGGAAATAGGAGAAGTTCTTATGTTGGTATTCCTCAAGTGAAATATCTAGTTAATTGATGAAATTCCATTAAAAGAACACTATGGCCCTCAAAGCAGAATCATCAAGGGATTCGGGTATGATGAAACATCTTCCATTCCCCACTAACACCCTGGTCCAATGCTGTCCAATGCCCATCCAACTGGGTTGATCCAATACTACTCCACTTATGAATCTCTCCTAATATATAATTCTGTTTTGGTCATGGACTCTCCTGAACATTCCACACGGCACCCACAGCCTTTGGCTCCATGATCTGTCACTCATAAGCTGTCCCTATCCACTGGCTGTGTTGCCTGAGTCTCGCCTCCAATATTCTAAACAGTTTGCTGTTCCTCTCCCCCCAATAGCCAGTTAGAACACAGAGGTCATTTGCATATGCGGCCTGATTGGCCTTTGCCTCTAACATTCTAAACAGTTTGCTGTTGCTGTGGGAGTCACTGAATGTGTCCTGAGGTAAAATAAATACCCCAATCTCCCTGTGGGGCCTGGAGAGCTCCCAGAAACCACCATGTTCCCCAGCCACAGCACATCATTTCCCCTACAGAAAATTTCCCAGCTGTTACAACTGATGTCCAGATGACCAAGATCTGTTCTCCTGGAGACAATGGCAGCTTTGGGCAGTGGACATTATATCCTGCTG